GGGAGCCTGGGATTTGTAGTCCTGAGATCAGCCGACCTCTGCTAATCCTGGGGCCTGCTCCCCGGCTGGGGGAGCGCAGTGTCAACTTCAGTAGCTTTCTGCGTGATGAAGTGTCCGTGTGCTTTTTGCAAAACACAGAGTTCTTCCTGGATACGAGCTGCAGCCTCTGTTAATTCACCAGAACCCAATCCCCTGGCCCCCCATTCAGGTTCTTTATGGCCTCCCCTCTCTCGCCCATTGATCCTAAGCACCGTTTTATGGCCTCTGGGGAGGGAGGGCTGGACACAAGCCCAGCCCTGCTGCGAACGCGGAGGAAGCTCTGGCGGCAGAGCCCCGGCCAGGTGGGAGCCGGGCAGCCAGGCTGCAGGGTTGCCTCCCCACGGGGTATCTTCTCAAGAGCGTTTCAGGTGACGTGTTTACAGCATGGCCGTTGATGAGTAGATAGTAGAGGACGCAGAGGGTGAAGCCAAGTCCACAGATGACTTACAGAGGCGCTGCACTTTGTTTCGTTTTGCTTTGTGTTTTATTTCCTCCTGCACCGTGGCCTTGGCCCAGCAGCACCTTGGCTTCGGATAGACAGATGTTCCTCTCCGCCCCGGTCTTCTCCAACCTCCTGATCTCATTTGGTCTAACGAGTCACACGCCATCTGACGGCCCACACCTTGTGCATTACCCACGGATGGACTAAATGAACATGGTACACATTCATCTTTCAGTTGCATGGAGATATTACCGGTTAAGTAAAATAATGATGATTTTAGGTGTTATTAAATTTCTGGTGGTCATTGACTAATAAACATGTTGCAAAACAGCAGATATTGAAAATATAGTTTCCTTAGGTTGGAAGTCAACAGTATTTTTTTTTTTTTTTTTGACACTAAAAAATATGACCTCCAGCTCAAAAGGGCTGTTAGCCAGTGTCCTAAACTGCGGGGAAGACTGATTTGCAGTAGAACTGCCCACAGCTGGGCCATGCTTCCCTCTTCTTGGCTCATACTGTTGGTTAGAACAAATAAACTTCATGGCGTAGGTGCAGAATGGTGGAGAGGGGAAAATACTGGACTGGAAGCCAGGAGGGCAGAGATCCTGTTTGTCCTCTGCGACTAGCCAGCTGGATGCCCTCGAGTCAGCTAGTAAATCTTAAATCTGGGCACCACAGGGGAACAAATGCCAGCCCTTCCTCCTCACAAATGCTTCTAAGTAGAAAATGGTGTCCGGGCCCTGTTAGCGAGTGCAGTAGCTTCTTAAGTGGGAAACAAGTTCAAGGGGCAAGTTCTGGCCAAAGTTCTAAGACTTAATAGAGGTGATGAGAGTAAGTCAGTATTTAAATTGGCTGTAAACAATAATATTAACAGAGCCACTTTAACAAGGAGCCGGAGCGGCCACGCCGGGGGAACTGCCTTGCACGTCTATGTCTCAAATCTTCGGAATGTTTAAACAGGACCAAATAGCCTTTGGACTGGGCCTAAGCAACCTTGTTTCCTAAGACACTGTTTGCAAAGATAACAAAAAGCAGTTATTATGACGACTGGGCTGATGGCTACTGGATCGAAAATTAAAAACATTGTTTAGAATTAGCATCACTGTGTTATTTTATCTGAACCAATAGAAATACTTTCCATCTATTGATGTAATTGTTCCCCTTCCCTTTCTCATAAATACCCATTGTTTTTGAGTCCTAATTGGAACATTATTTGGGCTTCTGCCTGAATCAGCGTGTCCAGAATAGCTATTCTTATTGAGCTCAATAAATGCTGTTGCCGCTCACTTTGAAGGGCCTTTTTATTTTTTAGGTTAACAAGAGCATTTAAAAAACCCTCTTCACAGGTGAAGCCCCAAGGGTCTGAGGATCCTTTATGCGATTCCATTTTCCCCTAATGAATGCTTTGTAGATTTCAAGACTGATGGTAACAGTGCTTGGCTGAGGTAGAGATTTTCAAAAGGATACAGCCAAACTATTCTCAAACATACCTGGCCTTCATCATTTCTCTTTCTATGCTCGGACCGCTAATACCAAGTTTTTATTTTCTCCTTTCTCAGAAGTCCCAGGAAAATTCATGCAGATATACACACACACACTTACTCCTCTGAAGACTAACCTTCTCGGGGAGTGTCAACAGCAGGAGAGACACAATACAAAGAAAATGGAAGAAAACAGAATTCCAGTTTCAATTTATTTTTATATCACTCTTTAAAATTTTCTATGTTGTGTTTTTTTTATAATATAAATAATAATGTAACAGCTTGTGTAGATGATTTATAAATCGGTGTGCTTATGCTGAGAATATTTGCTTAACACATTTTTTTAATGGCCAGGTGCAAGTTAAAAATAATTGGATACCACCGTTCTGGAGCACATCTCATTTCATCTTGGTAGATGTGTTGTCTGGAAGATATTCAGTGTTACCAAGGGAAGATTATAGGGTTGCCAATGCTGTGGGTCTAATTCCTCACATCAAGGACTTTCCAAGCCTCACTTTTTGTTGTTTTATAAAATAGAGAAATTAAAAACAAGCTACCTAAGAGTGAAGCACTTTAAAGAAAGTGTCTGCCTTGGAAGAAAAAGACCTTAAAAATCTTCATGGAGCATGTAAAATCCTGGTAGGAGACCAGAGGAAGCTGGGCACCTGATTCTCTGTTGGAGTATCTGAAGGATGGCCACTTGGGTTTGAGGAGCTTGGTGAATGTAACAGAAGGAAGTCTGATGGACAAGGTCCATCTTGGACCAACCTGTTTGCTTTGTTCTGGTTCTTGGACACAGACTGTCTGTGGCCTTGGCTGTCATCTTATGGACCTCTTTTAGGCTGGAGGAAGATTGAAGTAACATTAAACAGAAATCTCTGCAAACATCATCAACAGTGTGAAGGTTAATTTTAAGTATTAAGTTGGATGGTCACGGGGTGCCCAGAAGGTTAATTTTAAGTGTTAAGTTGGATGGTCACGGGGTATGCACTTGTGGGTGTTTCTGGGCGAGTCAGCGTTTGAACTGGTGGATTTAGTGAAGTCGATTGCCGTCCCGATGCATCAGCCAATCTATCTGATTGAACAGAAGAAAAAAGCAGGAGAAAGACGAATTCACCCCATGCTTCCTGCCTGTCTGCTGGAGCTGGGACACTTCTCTCTTGTTGCTCTTGGATTGGGATTTACACCATCGGCTCTCCTGGGCCTCAAGCCTTTAGGTTTGGACTGGAAGTACATGCCTGGCTTTCCTGGGTCTCCAGCTGGCAGACAGCAGACTGGGGGACTTCTCAGCGTCCAAAATCACGTGGGGCCAATTCCTCACAATCAATCAATCAATCAATCAATCAATCAATCAGTCAATCTCTCTCTCTTTATGTGTGTGTGTGTGTGTGTGTATCTACATATGTATCTATATAGAGACATCTATACGTCTATGTTTATATTTATCTATCTATATTTATCTATCATCTATCTATATTTATATCATCTCCTACTGGCTCTGTTTCTCTGGGGAACCCTGACTAATACAAACAACAATCAAAACCACATTGATTTTGTACTTTCTACTGTAGTGCAGTTTGTACATCTGAGAAAGTCTTCATGGTACAAGGAGGTGGTCAATAGAAAAATGTCCCCTGGGAAAACCCTTTGGCCTATTGGACGGGTAAATAAGAAAACAATGTCCTCAGTTCTGGGAGAAGAAGGCACAATTTATTTAGTCAAATTATTTTACAACATAGTCTTCCTGGACAGTTGTCAGCTTAACACTTAATATAGTTTAAAAAAGTCAACGATTACCTGCAAAATTATATATATTTTAATATCTAAAAAATATATTGCATATATAGGGCAGGAAAATCCCTCATGTCCACAAGGGAAAGTTTGCATGTTCAAGGTTGCGATGATTGCAGGACTGTTATTTACAAACATTTCCAAAGCACAAAGATTTCAATGGATCGCCTCTGCTTGACTGATAAATAGCTACAATCAGTGCTTTTCTTTCTAGTAAGTCAGTGACTTAAATGTCTGTTTTCAGCAATAGTCACATTATGCTTTTTTTTTTAAAACCAGCTATAAAAACGTACAAAGAGTCCAAATGTACAGATTGACAAAAGATGTACAAATTACATTTAAAAAAATAACACCGACTGATTTGATAGTAAAATTGTATCTGTGACCGAGGTCAACTCGTTTATTTATTCTTTTTAATTTTTTAATTATTTATTTTTAATACTGTGAGATATAGGAAAATAACTCTGCATAATTTATACAGTAAGTTGCCTTCTGATTGAGTGATCATTGCCTGGTGGTCTGACAAGCGCACAGCGCCTGCGGATCTGTTTGCATTTAGAAATCCCTACGACTTTTCAAAGCTCTGGGACTCACGGTCATTACTTAAAAAAAAAAAAAAAGTTATTTAATTCTCTGTCTTTCAGGAATGTCTGAGCTTGCATGTACATTTCTTAGTTCCTATCTTGGCTATTTCTAGAGAGAATGATCTGCCTAGTACATGTTGCCCACTGAGAGGAATTTTGCAATGCCCATGATGGCTTAAATACACACACATGTTCTTCCTTCTAAATTCCAGTTGGGTGAAAACTTCACTGGCCTTACAACCAATGTTCCAGTTGCCATCCACTGAATTAGGTCTTCCTGAAACAAGGTTATAAGCTTCCTGCCTCTATTTTCACTGAGTCTCAAACCAGAGCCTAACTGGTAAAGTTCGTGATTCTTTATCAGACTGAACCCAACGAGGTCCATGGTAAGACCCGTGTGTGGATAAGAAACTGCTTTGGTCATAAAAATATAAAGAAAATGTACAGTTTCTTCCATAGAACCACGAAACAACTATTCCAGTAATCTAAATATTCCTTTCAGAAGATGATAGGAGATTGAGAATCCAAACTGGCCTACTGGCCCATGGAATTACCCATCTCTTTGNGTCTAGAATGATAACAAACAAAACACCTCAGAAGGCAGGTAACCATCACTACCAGGGATTTTAGCTTTTGTTAAAAAAAAAAATTAAAAAAAAAAAAAAAAAAAAGAATTTGTTTTTAAAGAACAAATACAAAGGTTCTATCCAACAAGAAAGAACATCCAGTTTTGTTTTCTTGTCAAGGCCACGTGTGTCCTTTAGAGTCCAAAGTATTCCAGGAAGTGTGAGGGCTGGGGCTTCAGCTAGAAGGCCACCGACGTTTAGGCTTCTAGTAGTAGCTGCCTAAGTGTGAGGGCACATGGGTGTTAGGGTGGCGGGGGACATTGGGGTTGGGGTAGATTCCGCCCGTGGGGGAGGTCCAGTACTGTGAGGCTGCTCCAAAGAAGCTGGAGGAAGTGACAGGCATGGTGGGTGGGTGGGGAGAAACAAAGTTCACCTTCTGTTGATGGGCGTGGTAGGAAGGCATGTAGGAGATATCAGGAGTGTACTTGTATATGGGCGACTCAGTTGGATGTGGCTGCAGAGCCTGGGCAATGCCATGGAAGTCAAATTTGTAGGCATACCTTTTGCCATGCACTTTTGTCATAATGTTTTTATCGTAGTAGTATCGGAGGGCCCGGCTCAGCTTGTCGTAATTCATGTTGGGCTTGCTTTTCCGCTCCCCCCAGCGCCTGGCCACCTCGTCGGGGTCCGTCATTTTGAACTCCCCGTTGGTCCCCTCCCAGGTGATACAGCTGGCGTTGTTGCTGTCAGAGAGTAGCTCGAGGAGGAATTGCCACAGCTGGATCTGCCCGCTTCCTGCAGGCGGTGGAACGAACAAGGGAAAAGAGAATATTTCAGCCTGGGGAAGTCAGAGTCCAATCCCCTAAAAGCAAGGATTCGCTCACCCTTTGTAAAAAAAAAACAAACTAAAAACCGAAACAAAAAACCCCTGTATTTCCTTTTGCATTCAGAATCTACTTGGCAGCCCCTTCCTTTCATTGTTGACTTCTTTACCATTAGCCACTGGGATTGGTATGTAAGCATAGTCCGATCTTAAAACAATTTGCCCCAAGCCCGGGGAAATGCACGGTGGGTAATGAGGTGCTGAATCGCCCAGAACTAGCTGTGTGATTTGGGGCAAGCCACAGCCACTCCTTTTGGCAAGATTTTTGAATTTCTTCTTCTATAAAGGCCTGCATCACCGGCCATCCCTGCTTAGTGATGGAGTCCCCCAGGGTGTTGCATGTCCCTGTAAGGGTCTGTGCCAGGGGGTTGCCGTCAGTCGCAGAGAGAGGGTGTGGCACAGGCTGTGAGCTGACAGGGTGCTCCTTAGCAGAGCCTTAGCCTCAGCTCCCAACTCTAAGTTCTACAGGGAAGCACCTTGGCCGAGAGAAAACTTAACAGGAGAGGGAGCTGGGCGGCTTCTTTTACCTCTGGGCAGAAATGGCCAGGCAACGGCCCTAACTGGGTTTGCTCAGTGGTTGGAGCGTCGGCCCAAGGACTGAAAGGTCCCAGGTTCGATTCTGGCCAAGGGCATATGCCTCAGTTGGAGGCTTGATCCACCCCAGTAGGGGCTCGTTCAGGAGGCAACCACTTGGTATGTCTCTCTCACATTTATGTTCCTCTCTCTCCTTCCCTCTTCCACTCTCTCTGAAAAGCAATGGAAAAAATATCTTTGGGTGAAGATTAAAAAAAAGAAAAGAAATGGCCAGGCGCAAAAGAATGGGCCTGGAGACACGGGTAGTGATAGTTCCCTGGACTGGGAGGGTGCGGGCCTCGCTCCCGCACTGGGGCCTATCAGCGCACACGCTCGGCGGTCTTGATTTAGAACTCACTTTAGGGTTATTTTGGATAATAAGCCCTTAAAATACATTGTAAAATTTATTTTATTTGCAACTTTTCAGGGACACACCTCTTTCATAAGGCCAGATAGCTTGCAATGCTTTCTAAAATCAAGAATAAAATACCTTTGGAATATTTATTCACCTGGGCCTTGCACCAGGCAGGTAACAGAGTCCACTGGAACTGTTCCCTTCTCTCCAACCCCTGCCTTTCCCTCCTGGAACTTCTCCCTGTGCCACTTATGACTAATCTAAAGCTCGGTGCAGGTGTGCAGTGCTCATACGTTTGCTTTCCAGAAATGTCCTCAGCTAGTGGACATTATTGGCACCAAATAACCAGCCCTGACTTCTCACTTGGACACTAGAGAAGCAGGTGTTGAATATTTTAAGGAAAGGAGTACATGTTACTCCCCAGCCAGGTGTCTGAACTATGCGTGGAGGTTTCTGTGACCTCACAAAGCTACGGAACATTCTGGAAAGAAAACGCTGCAGGCCAAAGTCAACTCACCGGGGTTGGCTAGGCGACTGCTGGTTGGGCCCAGGATCTGATATGGATCTAAGGAAACAAAAAAGGAAATTTGCTTCACTGTTATTAAAAGTATAAAAACAATAGCATTAACACTAAGAATACCGCAAGGGTTTATACTTTTATTTCAACATCATAGGAAAGCCTGATTTCAGAAAATGTGACTGCTTTTATGTGCAGACCCGAGATCTTGACCACAGTTATGGTTCATCCCAGTTTTTATAGAAACAACATGGGATAGTAACAGCATTTTTTTTTTTTTTTTCATATTTGGTATCTAAAAGTTGTAGATAATGCTGTTATTATCTAAAACAGTAACAAAACTATTTGGAAAGGAGCTGCTTAATATTTCACCATAGTGAATAAAGTGAACATGGTTTATTAAATGGGCTCGAGGATCTAATGATTACTAGTCTTTAATAGCTCTACCTATTACTAACAACTTTACACTCCTCTGCTTCTCTGAGGTAGCATAACATATACCCTCCGGGAAACCAAGAGGCCCAGTTTCTAGCCCTACTTATGCTATAAACTAAACCCACTGGCCCATCTCTGGGCATCAGTTCTCTCAACCACAAAGTGAGTGGTTGGGCTACTGGATTCCTCACTTCCCTTCTAATACAACATCCTGTGATTTTAAGCTTGGAAATGTCAACACTAACCAGAATTTGTATTTTAACTATAAAGTGACTGTTTTTGTATCCCAGTTTACTTAAAATTTATGTCATTATTTAGCTATAAAAAAATCTTTGCAATATTAGTTTTATGTGAGGTTTGTCTCCATTTTTCAGGTAAAGAAATCATGGTAGAGAGCTGGATCACAACTTGGCCACGTTGTTAAATGTTTGGTCCAATTTTGCTATTTTTATAGTTATAATTGCAATTTTAAAAAATCAGCACGATTTTTGGGTTTCTACTTAGAACCATAAGTTAACTTCAAGAGTCTGTTAGGCCATTTAGTCTACCCTTTTCCATCCCCACAGCATGACAACAAACATTTTTTTGGCAGGTCACATCTGACTTTGTTGTTGTTGGAGGTTCTTTAAATCCTTTGTGTCAGATCCTCTGTCGGTCTAGAGTTTCTAAACTTTCCTGATGAACTGTAAGTCCATTTTCTATTGCTCTGTCTGCAGTGGAGATGGAAAATAGTGTTTGTCCATCCCAAAGCAAATGGCTTGCTCGGAACTTCACTCAATTGTGTCACATAAAGACGACACAGTTGGCCTTGGGGGTGGGCACAAGATCCCCCCTATATGAGGGCTCTTCATATAGAATGGGAGGAAGATTTCAGCTTGAATGGAAGTTATAGGGAGGGGACTTTGGCTTAATTAGTGGAATTGAGCCCAGCTAGGTAGTGAACTCCATGTTGCTATAAGTATTTGAGTAGAGGTGGGGTAATCATAAGATTGAATTGTTACTGAAGGACTTGTAGACCTAGGTGTCTCCAAGTTCCTTTGTAATACTAGAAGTCTCCAGTCACATGGTTTTAACCCCCCCCCCCTTGCCTAAACTGTTAAGCAGACCCATCACAGGATGAAGGTGTTTTTTAAAGCAAGGTTGGTGAAACATAAAAGGCTTGGAGAGCACTTGGAGTGGGGACGGGCTATGGCTCTCCATCAATTAGCCGTGCGGCTTAAAGCAAATCACTTTTCCCCTCTTCATTTTACAAAATGGGGCGTTGGAACATTTCATCGTTAATATTCCTTTCACCTCTGGTATTTAACAACCTGATTCCAGGGCTGGTATTTGACTCAGGGATCTGTTACGGAGAGTCCGATATAGACTCTCCATGGAAAAGTGATGACAGGTGAGCATTTCGTTTAAATGCTCTTCAGTTGGCCACATGGACTCAGTGGCTGCCTGAGAGGCAGAGGAGGGTCACTCGGGGACAGGTACCTGGTTGGGGCCGTTGTTCAGTACTCTTATTCATTGTCTGTGCTCCTGCAAGGGGAGGACCTGCGGCAGGAGGAAAGGAAATCGGTCAGTGGGGCCATGCTCCCCAAGGGGACAGGAACAGCTTGTCAGACTCCTCCAGAGGAGAAGGTCCTCTCACTCACTCACTCACTCACTCACTCACTCACTCACTCTCTCTCTCTCTCTCTCTATTCGCTCATCTAGTCAGCTTACTTTATAAGTATTTATCTAGACTCTACTGTGTGCTGGGACTGTTCTTGATGCCAGAGGTTCAGCAATGAACCAGTAGCTCCCGGTAGAACTTAATGTCAACGGTGCAGACAGTGATAAACGACAGTAAACATATGGTCTAATGGCATCGGGGCTGTGGGTTTCATTGTTAAATAGAAAATTTAGAGAGGTCCTTAAAGAGAAGGTGACATCTGAGCCAAGATCACCTGCTCCCCGTGTTTCCATGTTTGGGGAGCTTCACTCCATGGTATGTCACATGCACCTGTCCCATTCCTGTCATACTCCCGTCCCCCATTTAGATCTGCATTGTCTTCACGTGCTCTAAGGCTCAGTCTGACTGGTATCTTCACTGCTCCTCTCTCTTCCCACTGACCCATCATATGCTATTCAACTGGTTTACTCTCCCTAAACCATTGCACTCCACTGTCCAAAAACCTTAGTGACTCCTCACTAACTACAGAATTAAGGTCCATCTTCAATTTCCCTTCTCATATCCTAAGCCTCAGGAACCCGGAGTCCTCACTGACTGTCAGACACATCAACTTTGATGTTTGTCCCTGGCCCCCACCTCTGGGAGGGTCTGTCTTCCCAATCTCTGCAGGTCCAAATCCTGCTTCTCTTTCTAGAGTCAACTCAGATGGCCCCAGGTCCACAGGCCTCCTCGATACCACCCAATAAAGAGTGATGTGTGGAGAAGGTAGAGTGATGCCCGCTCTCCCCTGCTGGCCAGGGCCTGACTCATCTTTGTGAGCCCCAAAGGGCCAAATGCTTGACAGAGTAAACAAATAATTCACACATATTATTGAAAGGGATCTTGGTTATTTGTAACCCCGACCTCTTTCTGGAAAGAATTCCCTTCAACATCCATTCTTGTGCTTGATATTTTACTTCCTAGAGATAGCAAGAGTGACACATTCTGGTTGGGGATTTGGGTCATTCTATTTCCCCCTTTCCTTACTGGGAGATTTTGGGTCAGACTTCAATACAAATTGATGTCTCAGACCCCTTGCACCTCCTAATCAGGTTATTCTCCATCTCAGCCCTTCAGGAAATGGGGATGGTGACACCCATGTCACTGAGCTTCGACAGTTTGAGCAGCAAAGTCACAGAAGGTCATTGTCACCGCTTAAATGACAGAACCCAAACCCAGTGACCTTTCGTTCACACAGAACCTTGCCCTGAGAGACCTTCTGGCTTCAACAGTTCTAAAACCAAAGGCAATGGAACCAAACTCAAAGGCCTGAACCCAAACCCCACACCCTCTTTCAAGGAACCAGTATCACTGACAGGCCCTACACTGGCAATTAATTGTGATGTCCACTCACAAAACAGGAAGACCATTGCTCATTCCTATCGTTTTTATCTCATGACCTTGTTCTCCACCTTGTCCCTGGAAAAAATGTTTTCTTCCCAAAGACAGACTGGCATTTACTTACTTTTGTTGAGGCCAGAATTCATGTTATTGCTCCATGTTCCTCTCCTGACTGAGTCGTAAGAAGGGTCTAATGAAAAAACAAGAAGTAGTCGTACATCAGCATCTCCTGCTTTGCAGAAAGACTGCATGAAGATGATTTTTCAGCAATCGGGAGAAATAAAATTTAATTCAGCAATCACTTTTTAGCAACCACTAAATTCCAGAAGTGTGCTCTTGTCCTGGGGTAAGGGTGGGGTGAGTGAAAGGAACATGAACATTCTGATCGGAAGCCAGAATAACAGAAGAACCCCGAATTTGAAGTCAGAGGATTTGTTCGAGTTCTGTCCCCGGCATTACGTGTTGTGAGACCTTGGATGAATCATGAGATATTCTTGCATTCAAACTTCTTTAATACGAAACTTAAAATTTACATGGTTTATCTATCTTATAGGGTTGTGCTAATGTTATGAACGGAATGTTTGTGCTCCCCCCAGATTCATAGGTTGACACCTAATCCACAATGTGATGGTATCAGGAGGTGGGGTCTTTGGGAGATAATTAGGTTGTGAGGGTGGAGCCCTGAGGAATCCGCTTAGTGGTCTCCAAAGAAGAGGCTCTAGAGCTGGCTTGCCCTCTTTCTGCCGTGTGAGGATACAATAGGGAGCCAGCAGTCTGCAAACCACAAGAGGCCCCTCTACTCCAAGAATCTGATCACATTGGCACTCTGATCTCAGACTTCCAGACCCCAGGCATGCGGGAAAGAAATTTCTGTTGTTTAGAAATCGCTCAGCCTATGGTGCTTTGTGATGGCAGTCCCAATGGACTGAGACAGGTGCCGAGCAAATGCTCCAGCATCTACGAGACATCTTACAAAGCTTTCTACAAATATAAATAGAAAGAGAAAAGGTCTGAAGAGCTGGGCAGTGTCCATCTCAGTGTCCATTCAAGACACCATGGGAAGAGCGTCTCAAAGCCCATGCCCATGACGTTTCAGGTGGCCAACTCCAGCTCCTTCCTTCAGACCCTGATGTTGTGGATGACACGTGAGAGGTGTGAGCACCTCCCAGGCTCTCCTAGGCCTCATGTTTTCCTCTTGAGAGTGGAGGGGGCTGAGCCTGATGACCACAGAGAAAGGGAGAAGGCGAGAGGTGTGGCTAGGAAGGGAGCTGGGACCAGAAGTGAGGGGGTGGAGAGATGCCTCCCACTGAAAAGGACTAGAGCCTTGCATTCAAATAGCCATGGAAACTACTCCATGGAGCCCGAACATCTGTGACCCCAACCTCTTTCTTGAGAAAATCCACAGGCCTCCGTAACTGTGCTCAGAAATGGTTTCACTAACTGGCTGGAAACGTCCCCCTTTCCTTCCTTGTGGTGTGAGTCCTCTTGTGACACTGAGCAGGAACAGCAGGAGAGCTTAAGGACACAGAATTATGACTTTCAAAGTCTTTTCATGAACAACAAAGAAACCATGAAAACCATCCGAACAAATGGAGCGCAAACCTCATCAAACAACAGCCTGACAGAGTGAAACACAAACCATCCCTCCACCCCTCTTGAGCCTCGAACAAATTAGAGTAAGAGCTGCAGAGATGGGGGGGCCCATCGGATTGTCTGTTCTCATTGTTTCTGGGTAAAAACCAAAAGACGGGGACCATTTTCTTGTGGAAAAATCCACGTGCGAATGCACATTCTTCCCTGCTCCGGAAAAGCCAGTGCAGTTTTTAAATTACAGTATTTAGCAACTGGCATGAAAAGCCAAATAGAAAGTGAGGGGGGCTGGGGCTGGGGGGAAAGAGCAGGGAGAGGGGTCAAAAGGGAGACAGAGCTCAACTCATTTAAGTGGCCTGTTTTTATTTTTACTTGACTTTTTTCTTCTTCTCACAATTCCTCCTGCAAATAGATTCCTCTGTTTGCTTAAAAACAAAATACAAAAAAACAAACAAAAAGCCTAACTTGTTTACAAGCTTGGGGTGAGGCTGGTGGCTCTCGTGGGCATTTTCTGGACCATCTTGCGGAGGTCAGCGGGGTGTGTGAGATGCTGGTATAAGCCAAGGGAAAGGTGAGGTGCTTCAAAGATTTTTCTGCGGTGCGGGAGGCTGGTTAGGCCTCCGATGATTTATGTCGGAGTGACTTCTGCGGTGTATTGTGTGCTTCTGTCCTTGCATTAAAATATGAGACCATGACTAAGGTTGTGAGGAAATATGGGTAAGTGGACCAAAGGAGTGGTGGAGACACTGGGGCTGCTGGAGGTTAAGAAGGGAAAAGGGAGGGTACTTGGGGTCATATGAGCTGAGCGAGACGTCCTTGGAGAGTCGAGAGAGCAATGCAGACAGGCACAGGGCTGCAGGGGCAATGAGATATGCGGGGATGTCTGAGGACAACCTCAGAGGCAGCTGCAGGACCGGGACCGGAGGGAAGAGAGGGCTAGTGGACAGGGCCGAGGGCACGTTCAAGGCCATGTTGATGGCAGCTAGGCGAGCTGAGTGGCCTCAGGTGGCCACAGTGGGAGCCCACAGACATTTGGGGCACGCAGCAATGCCAAGAGAACAGGGCGTGGTGGAGTAGGAAGCCCCTGGGGGTGTGTAGGGTGGCAGAGCAAGGGGGGGCGGGGGGAGGAGGTGAATCTAGTAGGAGCAGAACAGAAAGTGGAATAGAAAGTGACAGATTCATGCAAAAAGAAAAAACAAATGCCTAAGTTCCAGGAATTGGTGTGTGTTATCTGAAGCCCTGACTTGCCTTCTGACTTAGTGCACTGATAAGATCTGTCGCAAAGTTCTCTAATCGGTGTTTCTGCTCAATCATTCACTCACTGTTGGCATCCCACGTAAAGCTGTTATATTCGGAACCATTCTTTTTCGCCCAAATTACGGCTATGGCTATCATTACCGCTGACTTCTTTCTTAAAATTTATCTTTACTGTTGAAAGTGTTACAGGTGTCTCCTTTTCTCCCCCTCCAGTGGCCCCCTCCCCCC